AGCGTAAATTAACTAAAATATCGGCTTCGGACTATTTTAAATACGTAATATAATAAAAAAGCCACAAGAGACTTCAAATATATATATATATATAAAAACTCGAGTTATGTGCTTTTCTTTGAAGCAATTCTTCACGTCCAACTTTAGTAGCTATCGCCGACTTTTCTTCACCACCTTATCTGATAATTAAATCCACGAATCTACTGTTATTGCCGACTATGCCTTACAGCATCCCAATAGCCCATGAAAACTGCTGTACTTTAAGAGTGCAATAATTAACTAAATAATACGAACACTTTCATAATTCTGAGATGTGATTCCTAACGTTAAAAAAAAAAACCGCAATTCACGAGAACAGTTCAATGTGTATGATTTGATTGCTAACGCGGGAAAATCATGTTAGCTACTGTAATTCATAGCGCTTTCCCATTTATCCTCGAGCAAAGTCGTACCCCCCATGAATAGTTGAAACACACAATTGAACATGGTTTCAGTCTCAAAAGCTTGATGTTACCTCCAAGAAAATATGGTATGTTTTTAAGAGCATAACCACAAGTACAAGCGCGTAATAAACATTCATTAAGTAGAGAAACATCGAGAGTGTGGTATTATTTGGACTCTAATATCGTAACCAGAGACAGAAATGTAATTATGTTACTTTCTTGTAATAAACGTACTGTTACTTTAGCAGAAACTGTGTTTTTCGGTTTGTTCAAGGGCTCAGTACATTACATTTCTCTAGCCAGGTCAGAAACAACATCCTAATATTGACTAGCTACTGAAGAAAACCCATTTCAACTATTATTTTATTACAAGTTACAGTTCTTTCTTACTGTAACATGTAATAAAATAATACTTATAATCAGTAAAAAAGCTCAAAACGAAACTATCAAATTTCAACTATGTTTGAGAAAAATGCAATTCCCTGATTTAATATGTAAGTTCGTGATTTTTTATTGGTGCCCTATTCAATGAACTTAGTAATTTAATAATAAAAGCCTAAAGTTAACAGTTTAATAATATATTTTCAATTTAAATTCAACATGGGCTAGTGTCAGGTGTAATTTTAGAAGATGCTCAATAAATATGTCTTACGTACATAATATTTGTTATTTCACAATAAATAGTTGAAAAAAGAAGATAAACCAAATTATTTTATTTGTAAAATCTCGCAAGTCTTATAAAAAAATCTGCCAAAACATTTTACGTTTTATTTCATAATCATAAGCTTATTTGATTTAATATAGTACTCCCCCTTGGCAATAACATTCTGACATAACATATATATATATATATATATAGTTTCTTAAGAAACAAATGCAGAATAGCATTCTGTTGTCAAATTCCATACTTTTCAAAACTGTTTGTCTGTATACTTATCATTTTTGATCTAGTATAGAGCGCGTTTTGTTTCCCATTATTTTTTGTCAACAATTTATGTTTTAAATTTCCATTTTTATTATTTGTTGGGATATTGTAAGAATTAATCGTTATTGTTTCGTGAATATTCGGTTCCTAATCTCTGCAATAGAGACAACAACAAGGTAAAGACAGTTTCGTTTGTAATCTATATAAATATATTAGTACTGTCTGTTGTATGTCCATACAAATTTTCAGTTTTGCATTTTACGTTTTGCGGTTTTTATGAGCACTACGTCACCCCCCCCCCCCCTTGTTGATGGAGTTTCATCAAATTTGACCTGAAGGTTTGTTGGGCCCATTCGGAGATATATGCAGACTTGCGGTTTTACATTTGGTGTTTTGCAGTTTTTGCGTTTTTTACAATTACATATAAGGGAAGCAACTTTTCACGTTCTAAGATAACCTTTCATTAATCATGAATTTACATAACTTCCGTCTAGCGGATGGGAACTCAAGCCAGTTATTAATATAAATAAAAAGCAGTTTCTGTCTTCGTGTCCCGCGCTCATTTTTTTTTTTTGGTAATGCTAAATAATATACATCTTCGCTTAGCAACAAAACTATAAGCTCGTATTGTTGTTAGAAGACAAACGTAGTTAAAACCGCATAGGCGACGTAAATATCAAAATTAAATAATAGGTCGAACAATCGCCAAGTGTTTATATATTTTTATTTAAAGAAAGATGACGTTTCAAGTTAGCGCTATTCGTCGGATCATACAATTTACAACCTTGGCTCCAGGCATTTTTGCGGTACAGATTTTTTATAAAAAGACAAATATAGGTCAAACCGTATGTGATGAATGCTTAATGTACACGTTGATTTGTTAGAAAGTTTTTTTTTTTCATTCTTTATTTTTTTTTGTAACTTCGGTGATATAACAGCAAAATTGTTTAATCAAACAATGCTTTAGATTTATAATTCATATTTTTTTTTCATGAGAAGTTTTGTGCACTTGCGCCTAGGGTAAATTATTCCACGCCGCATCTTTACTTTACACTGTCTTATCGCACCGTAGTAAGTTAAATAACATTTTATTTATATTTATTCAGTTGTTTAATGAACATCTAAGTTTTTGACATTAATTGTAGACAAACGCAAAATAAAAGCTACAAAGGATTTCAATGACGTAGTATTTCAGCTAAGCCTTACGTTACGCTTATGTATTACGTCTAATGCTTAAATTAGACAATGAATAGACCTACTATTACTAACGTTATAGTCAGATAACATTTAGTTTACATGTGTATAAGTCTGAACGCATAGGATTTCAATTGTAAAAATTAAAGGTTTAATTTTACAAATTTGAAGTTGAAAAATTCCTTTATTTTTTATTTCTATATATAATACCTATAATTGTATTTTCCTTATGTTTATTGTATCTAAGCATTCGATTTATATTCTATATTCATCGTAATTCTGTATGTTTAATAACGTTAATACCAGATGTCAGTTATTGTTACGACTGTTGCCAAGATACCTATTTTAAAGCAGTGTTCCACTGTTAAACGAATTTTTTATCGCTCAGTTCGCTGATACCCGAGGAAGGTTACGTTTGGTGGGCTGAAAGCTAGCAAACAAAAGTATTTACCGTAGAGAAAAGTCCGTATATAATTCTACATACATGTTTATTTGTTAGAAAGGTTTGTTTTTTATACTTTATTTTTTTATAACTTCGGTGATATAACAGCAAAATAGTTTAATTCAGAAATGATTTAGGTTTAGAATTGAATTTTTTTGTTTCAGTTTCATGATTGTGCACTTCTGTCTTTACTTTAGGCTTAAGTACAAAACAAAGTACTTTAGCCTTAGGCTTTCTTATCGCACCGTAATAAGTTAAATAACATTTTATTTAAATTTTTTTCAGTTGTTTAATGAACATCTAGGTTTTTGACATTAGTTGTAGACAAAAGCAAAATAAAAATTACCAAGCATTTCAATGAATTAGTATTTCAGCTAAGCCTTACGTTACGTTTATGTATTACAATTAGGCCTAATGCTTAAATTAGACTACAAATAGATCTACTATTTCTAACGTTCGAGTCAGATAATGTTTAGTTACATGTGTATAAGTGTGAACGCATAGGATTTAAATTACGCAATTAAAGAACTTTATATATCTTTAATATTTACATACTTTCTTACAACACGTGAAAAGTTACAACATTAATAGAAAAAATATTTTAATAGAAAAAATATTTTAGTAGAAAAAAGTATTATGCAGCAATAACAAAAATTCTGAAATTGAAAAACTTTCTAATTTCTTTTACTTTTAGGACGCTTTTGAACATTAGAAATAACATGTAAACATTGTCAATGTTGTTTATAAAGAAATATTTTGAAACAAAAAAATCTGATTTTTAATGTGAATAAAATTTTTGTTAGTCAATACATAATCTTTACAGAGTTTTCTTAACAGCCGTCATTTCTGACGAGCTATACACTAGTAGTACTAGTTGTAATAAAATAATAAAGACAGCACTATTCAACTTACCGACTGCCGCCGCTTGAAGAGTTCCTAAAAGTCAAGAAGAAATATAAATTATAATTCTGATTGTTTAATGATTCTCAAAACACAAACTTGCAAAGATAGATGAAGATTCTAAACATGATGGCTAATTAAAGTGGGATTCGTACAGCTCGGATATTTTGATAAAAATAAAATTTCAAAGTTTGTGACATTGCACTTTGCATTACTATATGCTAAGAATTTTTTGATTGTTCTATTTAAGCGAAGAACTACACAATGCCCACAACTGGGATCGAACTCTGAATTTTAATGGGATAAGTCTTCAAAGTCATCACTGAATGAATGGAGCGTTAATCTGAGATATATTGAAAGGCTTTATTTCATAAGATATACAAAACTTTAACTTGATTTTAAAAGTGCTTTATGCTATTAACTAGAAAACATTTTCAATTTCAATATGTCTTATGTTATTAACAGGAAAAATTTTAATTTGAATGTCTTATGTTATTAACAGGAAAACATTTTCAATTTGAATATGTCTTATGTTATTAATTAGAAAATATTTTCAATTTGAATATGTCTTATGTTATTAACTAGAAAACTTTCAATTTTAAAAGTGCTTTATGTTATTACCTAGAAAACTTTCAATTTTAAAAGTTCTTTATGTTATTAACTAGAAAACATTTTCAATATGAATACGAGGGCCCTATCAAATAAAATGAACGAACAAATGCAGCAAATTTTTGTTACAAACAGATCAAGAACAGGCAATTTGCTTTAAAATAGCATTTAATAATGGCACAATATCGAAATACGCAAATGCAATGTTAAATCAGAGACCATCAAAAGACAAAATTCTTACAAAAGGTGTATAAAACAGTATTTTCTTGATGACGAATACCTTGCTAAACGACGTTTATGTACAGTATTTCTTGAAAGACAGTGTTCTATGAAACACCACATTATTCCCTAAGACAAACAACAAAACAATATCTCGTCAAACAAAAACAAACTATCAGTTTGCTGAGAAAACGTATCTGTTTTTTCGTCAGAAAACAAAGGCGAGGCATAGATCTATTGTAAATAAATGTTCAAGTAAGCAATATGATGTCAGGGAAAGAAGCCATTGGCTTATGGTAAATTTAAGACTAAATGTAAAGCACTAGTCTGGACGAATCAGAAGTCGTTTGTCTGGCACATGGTTAAAAGCACGAGTCTGTCGTCCGTAAACAATGGTGAAGTATTAGTTTATCGTTAAAAAAAAAGAGAGAAGAAGAATGACGAAGCACAGGTATGCCGTAAAACATGAAAAACAAACTATTAATATGTCATTTAATGCTTAGGAGAAAACTGCAACTTGTGGAAATAGCAAGCCTCCTTAAATAAAAATAACAATTTCCTCATACGTTTGAATTTCGCCTAAAGCTACACGAGGGCTATTTGCGCTAGGCGCCCCTAATTTTGCAATGATAGACTAGAGCGAACACAGCTAGTCAACACCACCAACCACCAACTCTTAGGCTCCTCTCTTAGCAACGAATAGCGGGATTGACCGTCACATTAAAACGCATCCACGGCTGAAAGGGCGAGCATGTTCGGTGACGGCGACCCTCATATTGTGAGTCGAGTGCCTTAACCACTAGCCCTTGCCAAGCCAATCTCCCGATTGCTGGTTAAAATGAAATAGAAAGTATCAACCAGCCAGCTGAAACGAAATTGAAATTATAAGTCGGCAGACTTAGCCGAGAAAGAAAACACAAAAATGTGTGTTTATACGCATTAGAAAAAAAAAAAAGCACTATAAAACGATAACAAATTTTTGTTGGGGTGTTAGTTACTACCTTTTTTCCTCTGTAGTCTATCAGTTCAAAATTAAGAATGTCTTTACGCTGATAGATAGCTGTTGTGTAACTTTACGCGAAATTCTACATTCTGAAAAGCTGACAGTTCATGAACGAAACTCGCAGAATATTTTCGAACGACAAGTTAAGTCACGAGTGTAACTGGTGTGAATTTTTGAGTTAACCCATACAGATATGTGTATTGTAATTCTACTCTATAGGTGATAAGTCATGCTTAACAACATTTCAAGACTGAGCATGCATTTCCGAAAATTTCCATACTAAAGCTTTTCTCTGAACAAAATTATATGTGGAGACATTTTTAACATTAAGCGCAACAGCTTAGGTAAACATTGCACATATGAAAGTTTTCTGAACTACATACGTGCTGATTCTTCTAAAAACAAATGGACGTGCACTATAATTACAATATAAGCTTGTTCGCTGCTTGCAACTCAAAGTGCTGTCTAAATATCGTCATTCGTGCATCTTGCCGATTTGTTTGTTTGTGTTTGAATTTCGCGCAAAGCTACACGAGGACTATCTGCGCTAGTCGTCCCTAATTTAGCAGTGTAAGACTAGAGGGAAGGCAGCTAGTCCTCACCACCCACCGCCAACTCTTGGGCTACTCTTTTACCAACGAATAGTGGGATTGACCGTCACATTATAACGGCTGAAAGGGGCGAGCATATTTTGGTGGGACGGGGATTCGAACCCGCAACCAGTAGATTGCGAGTCGAGCTCCCTAACCACCTGGCCATGCCGGGCCTCTTCAGAACGTGTACAATCAAGTTTAATTCTACGTGTTATTTCCAATTTCCCATTTTACACAGTATAATTTACATGAATATATAAACAGTCTTTGCTGATCTAAATGCTAATATTATTGGTAAAAAAATAATTTTTATTGGCTGAATTAAACAATAACCCATTGTGCTTTTGATAGGACCGCTTCTATTAGAAAAAATATATATACGTGATTTAAGATAATATATTTAAAATAAAAAAACGTCAAAAACTGCTACATATTAAGGATTGATTGTTTATATAGCAATAACTTTGTATACTTATAAATACAGAGAACAAAACAATTTTGGGATCAAGAAGTTTGAGAAAATGAATAATTTCGAATTTCAAAAAATAAAAAAAATTCTTCCAAGGTATAGCTGCGGCAGTGTGTGTCTATTAGTGGGTTAATTTCACATTGACAATATTCACTAGGGGTTTGGACAATCTTCTAAAACAAATGTGATGCCTTAACTTGAGCTCAGTTGATTAATCTTACGGACATCACATGCCAGACAAGGCTATAGAGCTATTGGCATGGCCACCCTCCACAATGCAAAATCAGGATCGATATCTTAGTATCATGACTTGGTAAATCGCTTGTCATTGTTGTGAGATTAAATAGACAATCCCATCAGGCTACTGGAATTCAACTTCCATCGCAAACTTACAAAAGAAAAAAGATACATCTAGCCAAACTGAGAATTTAATGCTTGTTACCACCAGGGCCATTGAAGCGTTTTATCGACTAGCTCGAGTTCAATGGTGTTAGGATAATTTCAAATAGCAACAACGTCACCACGTTCAATTATTTTACAGGGAACGTTAGGCTCTTTCTGGAAAGCAGTTGAACCTGAAACGTTCGAGTTTGGTTATCTGATGGTGTATAGAGACTCATCTTCAACGATGAACCCGTTCATTATTAGGAATGGTGTTCTGAATGCAGCAATATCCTGATAAACAATGTCGGACCTTTCACTAGTGCGATTGAACTTGATTTCATTTTGATGTAAGATATTACTCGTCTACTATAGCTTATACAACAACTGACTATAGCTTGTA